GGAAGTCTCGCAAAGTATTTCCCCAACATTGCTTCGCCATGGGTATGCGAAGCGTACTTCGCGATCGCCGTACTCCGATGAATCCTGGTATCTTATCCCGACACGTGCATACCTCCTTCCCAACGCGTCCTAGCCAACTGTGAGGCGTTCCGCGTATCTTTATCAACACCGAATCAGAGCGCGCGCCCAACTCAGGTGAGAATTCGACACGATATCGGAGATTCCACGCTCATGGATTCGGTTCCTGTTCCTGCAGCGATTATCATCATGGTGCCCAGATGAATGCCAGATTCGGTAGAGTTGCTGGGTATGCGGCGTAACCGGATTTTGGTACCGGTTCAACCGGATCTGGCGTGTGAGGGTGTATATAAGCTGTGGTTTCTCAATAGTTGATGAGACGCTAGGAAGCTTGTTACGCTGCTTCTACGTCCTTCACAGCCTGCACATCAATTCTATAGCCAATCGTCGACATGCGCTTTTCTCTGAATGCCGCCCTTGCGGTAGCACTGGGCCTCGCCTCATCCTCGGATGCGCTCAAGATCCTCATGGGTAATGATGATGGATTTGGCAGTGGAAATTTGAGGGAACTATACAAGTTGCTTGTTGATGCCGGCCATGAGGGTAAAGACTTCCACATTCTCTGGCATGAGATACTCAATGCTAATCTATAATCAAGTGCTCGTCGTCGCGCCAGCGCAGCAACAATCCGGCAAGGGCAGCACCGTCATCTGGGCAGAGTCAGCAAACCTCACGATTGCGTCCCAGTACGACATTATCCCTGCAGGCGCACCAGCAGTCGGCAGAGATCCAAATGACGAGAACATCTGGTACTACGACGGCACACCCGCGGCGTGTACCTTCGTGGCGCTCGACTACGTGCTTCCGCGTTACTACCCCGACTGGCATCAGACAGCCGATCTCTTTGTTGCCGGACCGAACTACGGCACAAACCTCGGTCCCTTCGTGATGCTCCTGAGTGGCACCGCAGGCTCAACTTTCGCTGCTGTATCGCGATCTATCCCCGGGATCGCCACCAGCGCAAGTAACAAGGCGGTGCCTTACTTCAACGTAACGAGCGCCTCGGACCCCGCCGCATTGGCTGCCAAGGTCTCCTTCGAGGTAGTGAACGAGTTCATCAAGAACACACCAGAAGGACAGAAAGTGCTGCCTCTGGGTTATGGCGTCAACGTCAACATTCCCGAGCTTGTCAACAGCACCATGCCCCCAGTGGTTAAGACCAGGCTCACAGGCGAGGCCAACACAGACGTGGCAGTCTACAACGAGACAAGCGGTCTCTTCACGTGGGACAACGTCGACCCCTTGGCTGCTGGAATCAATGCCGCGTACAATGGCGATACAAGTCTGCCGGGCGAGACGTGGGTCGTGGCTGGCGGCGGTGTCAGTGTGAGTGTGTTCACCATGGACTTCTCAGCGCCGAGCATTGAGTACACGGAGGCGGTTTACGGCAAAGCTGAGAGCCTGTTCAGTGCTGGTTCAAGTGTGAATGAGACGGGCTACAGCAAGAGAATGATCGAAGAGCGTATGCGCAAGAGGGGAGCGATGCTCAGCGGACGTGACGGCGGAGCATGAAGCTCGCGTTCCTCTGACCTGTTGTTAAGTAATCAATAAATCACTCTGAGGGCGGAAGCCATGGAGCTGGGAGCAATGCCCCACACCAACCGTTCCTGCCTCAAACACGGACCACGCTCAAACACCAACATATGTAATCATCGCTTCTCTGCGCGCCGTTCTTTGCTGTCAAACCGCGGACGCCAAACTCCGTCTGGCAATGTGACAGGTACTGTACGTGCTAAGCTTTTGCCAAGCTCATGCGCGGCGGTGCCTCAGTCGCAGGTTCTGACGTCCAAAGGGTTTCACAGCCTCGCCCTTCAGGAACGAACATTTCGCTCAGGCCTTGCAGGGTTGCGCGATCCATCGTTTGGCGACGCGCAACGTTTGTAACTTCAGAACCGATTTCTCCTACTCGTGGGAAGATTCCACCAGGCTCTGAGTCGATGTGTTTTGGTGGTCGGCGCATAGAGCCCCACGCCCGAGATCGTGTACCAGACGGCGCCTGGAGAGGCGCTCAGGCGGAACAGCTCGGCATGAACGAAACCTCAGGATCGGAGATGCTGCTTTGGGTGTGTCTGGCTTCCAGCTGCGCTTTCGTCGAGCACTTGTATAAGAACGCATTGCAAACCCGCCGTCTTAAGTTTCCTACTATCATCAAGCGTTTTCAATCATTTTCTTCGAGTACTTTAAACATATCCAGCTTGACGCTGTAGATTCGATTCTCATACCCTCTTTTTACTACCGTAACAGCTGCGCTGTACCTACCATCACTTTTACTCTCTCGAATAATCTATACATACATATTCACCATGTACTTCCAATCTTTCGCCATCCTTTCGCTCGCTGCGTTCTCTGTCGCCGCACCTACTTCCCACAAGCGCGCAGTGGTTGCCCGCCAGGCCGGCCCTGTCCTCGCCGACACGACTTACAACGACATCTCGATCTCTGGCGGTCAGGCTGGAAACGCGCAGGCGGAAGCTATGGCAGCCTTCTCAGCACTCGACTTGCAGAACCCCGAGAACATCGACCCGGCAGACCTCACTTTCCTCAATGAAGTCAACCAAGTGGCCAACGATGCGGAGAAGGAGGCCTTCAACCCTGCAGTCGAGGCTGCTACCGGCGATGAAGCCGATCAGATCCAGGTATGTGTTCTTTTACATAGACTGCGCTACAAAGCTAACACTACTACAGGCCGGAAAGATCAAGAACAAGGTCTTGAAGCTCATGGCTACTGTCATCAAGCTTCAGGCTCAGCAAGCCCAGGGAGATGACACGGTTGCCGACAAGCTTGCGGAGGAAATGACGAAGCTCCAAAACAACATCGATCAGGATACCGCGGCTGCTGGTCAGGTCTCTATTGCTGAGCCGTTCGATGCTACCATCTCTGGCGGAGGCAACTAATGTGGAATGAAATTTCTGGTTGATGGACTGTCAATATCTGGAGCGCTTACCCTCACTCCTTGAAACATCTGCGCTGCGTCCATAGTCCTGGGTATTTAATTGCTTAGCTATATGCAATTGCAATTGTAAACATTATATACCTTCCCAACACTTTTGTTAAGTCGCCGCTCCTTTAAAGTGTTCTCATCCGTCTCTCATGTCTTCTAATGTTAGTTTTATTCTATTTTCAATGTCCCTAGGCACGGCGATGGTTTGCTCGTTGGTGGCGTGAGTTCTAGAGTATGGCTTGGCGGGCAACACCTGATGGCCGGGACTTGAACAAGTGCCGAACGTGGAGCCTCGGAACGGCGTCGGCTTCGCGTCATGGCATGTTCGTCGACGTTAAATACTCTGGCCTTGTCAACGGCGCACTGCACCTTGATACCCACTGATGTTCGCGTAGCGTTTATTCTTCGTCTCGTGATCTTTGCGCATTATCTTTTGTCCTTGTGCCATTGGCCATCTGCACACCATGTCGAAGCTGTCGCCGACGCTCAAGTCGCTCATCAACGCCGCGCACTCGCGCCCAGGCCCTGTACCCGCGCCGCCGAGGATCCAGGCTGTATACAAACGGATAGAAGAAGAGGCCACAGAGCGCAAACTCGGGCGACCATCATGGCTGGGCATTTCCACGGCTGCAACCATGACAATGAACTCGCCCGAGTCTATGGTCGCCCTGTACAACAGCTCCACTGCGTCCAGACCCGAGAGTGAAGGCGTTGCGACTGCGGAGTTCATGCGCGAGATTGGTCTTAAGTGCATAGGCTTCAATGGTGTAAGTCGCAAGTTTACAAGGGAGCAGCATCATGTACTAAGACGGCGTATAGATCCCACGCACAATCAACATGCTCAACGCCTTCCGCGCCGAACTTCCTTCGTCGATCGCTTCCAAACTAAACACCAAACCTACACGCTTTCCCGATCCCTCCAACGTCGAGCACATCAACAACCGCGGCCGCGCTCTCTGGAATGCCATCTACCGCCCATTAGAAACCAAACTCGAACACAAACTCGGCGAGGCACACCCCGATCTGCCCGTTTTCATCATCAATAGTGAATACGGTGGCCTCTTCACCGACCCTCCCCGCAAGGAAGGAGCGACCGTGGGCCGCATAACAACCAGCCTGATTGCTATCACATGCTTAAGAGCACAACAAGGAGTTGGACCACAGGTGCTCAGTCATGTCTTTGGGCTGAGGAAGGCTTGGGAAGACGGCACTTGGAAACAAGAGCCTGAGGCGGGAGAAGAGGAGGGAATAAAGTGGCTAGTCAGTGATGAAGGATGCACGTGGGTGCTGGAGAAGGTCGATGAGCTTGTTGAAGCTCTCGGCGGTGGACAGGGAAGCACATTTGCGCCCGTCAAATCCAAGTTATAAGCTTGTGTCGAGTACATTGAGAGATGACGAGATAGGGTTTGGATATGGCCCAGGAGATTAGGCCGTCGCAATGTCTTGTTCGGTCGCGTATCAACGAACGAAATACCTCAATACATCCTACACGCTGCCCCATTCAAATATCCGTCGTCCGTCCGCGCGACCCGGTCGTTAGACAATACCGAGTTCCTGGTAGAAGTCGACCGGCTAATATATCCATGCCTTCATAGTTCAGCCGATCCGCGCTTATCTCCAAGCCCTTCCCCGCTAACCATCCCGCAAAGCTTGAATTCAGCCCCACCTTCTCCGACATGTTGGTCTAGCGCATCGTCTCATTCGAAGGCTTACGTCCGAGACCCGAGGGATACTCACGTCACTCCGCAATATTGACGGGCTGGAGACTACGGTGTTCCTAGTGAGTTTACCCTAGCTCGCACCGGCTGGGTAAATGAGAGGTGTCGTGATCATTGCGTCGTCATTGATGGGAATGCATTCATGTTTGTCTTGTTCTGTGTAAGAAGCTTCAATTAGCAGGTGAGGTACGATGTATAAAAGAAGCTGCCTGAAAGGCATTGAACAGGCGTTTATTGGCTTAGCTGTTCGAATATAGCGACGATGGCGACAACATTCCTACTACCACTGCTCTATGCCGGCGGAGCTTGTGCTCAGTATGTCCCTGTGCCGTGGGCATACACACAAAATGAGCCTCCTGTTAAGGTCTCTGTTGACGCTACCGTTCGACATCAGACGATGATCGGAGGTGGCTGCTCAGGAGCCTTTGGTGTTGCCTGCGACCAGACCGGATCTCGAGGCCTCTCTCCTTCAAACCAACAGCTCGTCAGCGACTACTTGTTCAATGAGAATATCGGAGGTCTTTCTGTCTTGCGCAACCGCGTTGGCTCGAGCCCTACGGACGGCATTCTTGGCAGCTGTCCTACATCCCCATCAGCACCTGCCAATTACTCAGGCTTGGGAGCGAACGATTCCACCGCCGACAGCTGCCAGCTCAAGCTCACCCAACAAGCTTTGACAGCCAATCCGGATCTGTTCATCTATGCAGACGCGTGGTCGGCTCCAGGTTGCTTTAAGACCGATGCCACAGACATCAACGGTGGACTCATCTGCGGCGTGCGCGGGACCAACTGCACCCACGATTGGCGACAAGCATATGCTGACTACCTTGTGGAGTACGTCAGATTATATGAAGAGAAGGGTATCAACGTCAACTTGATCGGTGCTTACAACGAGCCCGACTTCAACCCCGTCACCTACGCTAGCATGGACTCCGACGGATACCAGGCTGCCGACTTCCTCAAGGTTCTCTATCCTACCGTCAAGAAGTACCGCGAGGACTTGAAGGTGTCCTGCTGTGACGCGACCGGTGCTCGTCAGCAACGTAACCTGCTTTATGAGCTGGATCAAACCGGTGGTGGAAAAATGTACGATGTCGCGACATGGCACAACTATCAAAGCATGCCTGAACGACCTTTCAATACGCATGGTCAGCCAAATATGGAGACCGAGTGGTCAGACGGTAGCGGCCCATTCAACACTACCTGGGATACGACAGGCCAGCTAGCTGAGGGTCTGCAATGGGCGATCTATATGTAAGTCATACATGCAAAGCACTGCTTGTAGCCACGACCAACTGACTGCGCAAAAAGGCACCAAGCCTTCGTGTACAGCGACACATCCGGCTACCTCCACTGGTGGTGCGCACAAGACAACCCCGGAAACACCACCGGCAGCGACGCCATCCTCGTACGTCTCCGAGGTAACACCTTCGAAGTATCCCGCCGTCTCTGGGCCTTCGCCGGCTACTTCCGTTTCGCACGTCCGGGATCTGTTCGTATCGATGCTATCAGTCCTGCTGAGAACCTCAAGGTCACGGCATTTGAGAACACGAATGGTACGCTGGCGATCCCGGTTATCAATGAGGCGCACTACGCAAGACAGGTTGAGGTTAGTATTAAGGGCTGTAATCTTACGATGGGTGTCGCGAATGCGTATTTGGCGGATAACGAGCACAATAATACGATGGTTGGGATGTATGGGGTTAATGGGTCAGTGTTTGTAGCTTCTGTCCCGCCGAGGAGTATGACTACTTTCTTCTTGGAGTAGGATAAGATCCTAGATGCCTCAATTTTAGCCTAATCCAATGATACTGTCCTCTTGCCAAACATGACTGGTCATGTCCTACGAAGTTATTACGGTGGAATGTTGATGCAGAGCAGGGCAACAAAACGCGGTCTAGTAACTCTATATAGTAATCTCAATGTAGGTGTATGTCCCAAACACCTTGTATTCGCTGTAATGCAGCAGTAGGTGTCCTACAAAGTTACGAGAAGATCATTTGCCTGATGTAGCGCCGTAGCAACCGTCTAGAAAGCAATGAACACATCGTTCGACTGAACTGTTATCAAGTGTGCCCCAAAAGAGAACTTGTATGGCGTGTGCGTGGTTTCGTCCACGCCCGTCTTGTGAGCGAGGATGGAGTACATCCCACCTGTCCCGTTTGAGCAGAAAGCGGTCCAAGGGCAATCATGAGATGGGATTTTGGAGTGAAACGAGACGGCCATTCGTTTGTCGTGCTCCGCAAACACTGTAGGCGCCTGTCAGCGCACTTTTCACCGCTCACTGCGGTACTACACCGCCGCTAGACCCTTTCCGTGTATTTGCGACAAATTGCTTGCTCGAACCATCGCTAATTGCGCGCAAACGCGAAGCTCCATCCGCTTTTCGTTGCTTAGCTCGTCTGTTCCTGTCTTGTTATACGCGCTGATCGACTCTGACGTGCCGCGCAGCATCAAGGAAATACACCATACCCAAAAGCCACGATGGGCGACAGTCAGAATACCACTGGCGCATGCACTGGAAACCCTCCTCCAACGATGACAACCCCAGATCTTCCTCCGCAACCTGCCCGAGAGTCTGCACAAACTCCAAGCCAAGGATGTGCTCAAATGATCGTACCTTTGGGCTTTGCAGCGCAGCTCCGAGCCGTACAAGAAGCGCAGCAGGAACAGGCAGAGCGCATCGCCAAGTTGGAGCAAGAGAACGCAGTTCTCAAGGACTTCAAGGAGAGGATCATCGATATCGCTGACCGAGTTCAAGCTTTGGAGCAGCGCGAAGCCTATCGTGCCGCAAGACGCAGGGAAGCAGTCAGTCTACTCAGTAACATGCGTACCCTGCATCAAGAAGCCGACAATGGATTCCAGCAACGCACAGTGGACATGCAGCCGGACGACCTCGAAGGAATGCTGGGCGCGTATGGCATCATGTTGACTACCGCAATGAACAACCACCAGCGCATGCTTGGCCAGATGCGTGCGAACGGCCAGTTTCCAGCGTACACAACGCCAGTTCCGCAGGCTCGTCAAGTGCTTGCACCGGTGCAGCGGCTCCACGTTTATCCGCCGGCGTACTCAGAGCCTGGATTGTGCCATGCGCACAGATTACCTTACTGCCGTGTTTGCGGTAAGTAAGCCAGCGATGCCATTGCGTCGCTGTTGAGATCGATTCCTGCAGTCACCAGGCATTCGACACAGCAATACCGGCGCTCCATTCATCTACTGAAAACTGAGTTTAAGGAGCCACTCTTCTTGAGAATAAATTGGAATCACAAGTTTACCTGATGAGGGGAATGGGGAGCTTGGCGTTGGCGGAGTTTGCTTTAGTCCATTCGTCTTGTGTTGGATCCGTTCCCAGACTTGATTGTGAACCATCGAGGGTGCCGGCAGGGGCGCCATGCAACATCGCGCTTCTGTATGTTTAGTATTTTGGGCGTTCAATGCTGCGATGGGTACTGCCGAGATTTTGGTATCGGGAAGGGTATGCCGTGTGTGCGCACTTGCTTGATTCTGACTGCGGTCCAATTGAAGAACAATCATGTCATTGATCGAATCTTGACGTCTGATATCGCGATGAGTTTATGTTTGTATATTTGAGTAGTCAAGCGCGGAAGACGATAGCTGGACGTTGATGGAGAAGCAACGATGAGGTTTGAGAGCCTCATGACGACACGCGACGCGTTCAGCTATTCCTAATCGGGATGGGCCTCGGCTTCCCAGCCTCCGTACATGATGCGACACCGAGCGCGTTACCTCAGCGGTACTGCGTCGCCATCATATCCGCAGCTCTCTCCGCGATGCCGTAAATGGCTGTTTGGATATGCGCTGAGATGATCATTGGGATCACGCTCGCGTCCACCACCCTGAGATTATCTACGCCGTAAACCCTCAGTTGGGGGTCGACCACACCACCGTCCTCCTTCGGCAACATCGCGCAGGTTCCTAGTGGGTGGTAGAAAGTGAAGACGTTGTTCCTGATGTACGTTTCCCACTCTGCGTCTGTCTCCGTACTCATACCAGGATCGAACTCGGATACCCACACATCTTTGAAGGGCGCGGTCATGGCCATCTTTCGTGTGTACTTCGCGGCCTGAATTAGAGCCTCTAGATCGTAAGGCGTACCAAGATATCTAGGATCAATGAGGGGCTTGTTGGTTGGATCCGATCCGTTGATGTGAACTGATCCCCTAGAAAGCGGGTGTTGTACACCAGCCAGAAGCGTTGCATACTGCTTACCGTAGCCAGCTGTGCCATTCTTGGGGTAGCCGGTTGTTCCTATATAACCGTCACTGAAGACGACCTCCAGATCTGGTGCTGCGGACCCCGGACCAATGAGTAGTTCAAGCTTCTTTCGGTCGACAGGATTCGACTGGTTCGCGGATTGCGTTGCCAGCTGGATGAGCTTGCTGTCGTCTCCAACAGCCTGCTTCCACTTCACGAAGCCGTAGCAGCTTCCGGCGTACTGGTAGAGCGAAGTACGGCCGCGCTTCCACAGATCCAATTCACTGGCCGCCAACGTCGTGTTATACTTGAGGATATCCACTCCGAGAATGTCAGGTTTGAGCTCATACGTCGTCTGGATGCGGAGATGGTCCTGTAAGTTCTCTCCGACGCCGGGAAGATCAACGATGTGCTCGACGCCAGCGTTTTCCAACACAGACTTCTGGCCTATCCCAGAGAGCTCCAAAATCTTTGGAGAAAGCAGGCTCCCGGCGGAAACAACTACCTCGCTCCTGGCTTGGATCAATGTGCCGTCCATGAGAATGACGCCAGTCGCCTTGGACCCATCCTCGTTGAGTTGAATCTTTTGGACGGTAGTGTTGAACATGAAAACTAGGTTGTCGCCAGCTTCTGGAAGATAGTCCACGGAATAGGAGCGCGTGTGATTGGATATGCGATAGGTAGCCGGTTGATACATGACGCCAAGATTCGTTCCATTCAACGATTCGAGATTTTCTTGCACGCCAAGATTGGTCAACGTTGGGATACAAGCCTGGAGTTGGGGCGGCGGATTCTCAGTTAGGGCGACTTGGATCGGCCCTCCATATCCAACACCATCGACGCCGTACTGTGGAGAGCCATTCTGTCGTTGGAAGTTTTCTGTTTTCAGCATGCTCGGATACATGTTTTCCCAGTTCCAACCTGGGTTCCCGAGCTCTTCCCAAGCATCGTATTCCTTGACAGTAGCACGATTCCAAACAAGCAGGTTCAGGGCTGAAGTACCACCGAGGACCTTGCCACGGTTATGGCCTATAGTCCGGTTGTTTGCTTCAGCTTGTGGCACAGTTGGAAGACTCCAATCGTACGAGGAACCAAAGGTCGAACCCCTCAGTCCAGGTACATAGATTCGTTGCTCGTCGCGTCCATCTGGTCCAGCTTCGATGACTAGAATACAATGGCTTGGAAGAGCATCGCTGAGTCTCGTGGCAAGTGCAAGGCCAGCTGTTCCGCCTCCAATAATGGCCTAGACAGAAGGTCAGCTCCGCCATGTATTCAATAATCGCAGCCTGGAAGATACATACGAAGTCGAAGCTGCCATCGGATACCTGACATGTCTTCGCACTCGCTGCAGGTACGACACCCAGCACGACCGCGGAGAACAGAGCTGAGATGAGCCACATCGGTGCTCAGCGTCTTGTACACAACAGAAGTCGATACGATGGTACTCCTGCGTAGTGGACGCCTTAGACGGGAAACCTGTAGGAATAAAGAAAGCGGGAGGCCTGCTGCATAAGATTTGGAAATACCGCACGACTGTCTAGAGCAGGCCCGCATTACCAACGGTTCAGTTAAGCCCATTTTTATCCATCATTGGCCAACAAAGAAGGCTCAATATGCGCCTTCCAGCTACGGCAATTGAGCTCAGATTGATCCTTCGGAGAACCGCTGCCGTGTCACGGAGATAGTCCACACAAAATGTCGAGATTGTAAGGCGTCTTATCCAGTCAGGGAAGGATTGTCTGACGAGATCTGTTTGACCCTTCAATTGGTCAACGCCTCGTATGGATACAGCCGACATGCATGCGCCTGCATATCGCTCGCATGGATACGAATCCTTTCCTGCGCCAAGGCGGGAAAACCGTTTGGTTCGATCCCCGGTAACGCTCTCCACGCCAGATACCTTGCATACCCAAATCAGCAGCGTTACCGGGCTCGCCTCGCGAGCGCGATTGCTACACTCCCCGTGTTTGTAGCCATGTCTTCCCATTGGCTACGCCACCCTGCTGATTGACATCAGAGCACCATAACACCGCCATTGCCATGTGTCGATATGGCCATGCTGAGCCGTCGTGCAATAGTACATTGAGATTTGTGAGCTCTCAAGCACAGGTAAACCGCCGGCGTCGCGGCTATGGACGGTACGAAGCGAGCCAACAAGAACGATTCTTCCCAGTCGACCCCTGCAGCTGGGCGATTCTTTGGCCGCGCGGTGCGTTCCCAGCGTTGACCCACTCCTTTGAAAGCGAAGCTATTCGCCATACGAGGTTTCACAATAGATCGGGGCGTAACTTTGGTGCAAAGTCTAAGCTCGTACTTTCTTGGTAATTCTTGCGGAAAGCACTGTGGATTATGCGTCTAAAGTTGCTGTCCAGAAGGATTCTACGCTGGTCTGGTCTTGCCACAAATAGGTTGCAAGTATCCCCATGACAGTGATTGTCTTGAATACATTTCCTTACTTGAAACTCAAGGGCCATTCCCGATGATCGCAGACAGAGGTCCGGCATTGATCATCGTCTCGGTGCTATTTACAACAATTGCCTTCTTCACCACCGTTCTACGGCTCTGGGTTCGCAGGAAGCGCCGATCCCTCGGCTGGGATGACCACACCATCGCAGTCGCGATGATGCTCACGGTCATTGAGGCCGCATTTACCATCAAGGCAGTGACGAGAGGCAAGGGAAGACCCAGTGTGTCGCTTTCCAAAGGCGACAAGGAATTCATCAACATGTACAGCTGGTACGCCCAGCTTGTTCTCTTCGCTGCCATGGCTTCGGTCAAGATCTCGGTCTGCCTGCTCATGACTCGAATCAAACACTCCAGCCAGATGAAATGGCTTGCCGGCTTCGTCATCACCGTTCTAGTCATTGCTGCCCTTGAGGTCAACATCGTCCTGTTGGCCCAATGCCAGCCTATTAGCCTTTACTGGCGCCCGGGACCAGGCACGTGCTGGCCTACAGAAGTACGAATCTACTCAATTTATGCACAAGCTGGTAAGGCATACGAACGCCGTTTCCTGATCTGAAAGCTTACTTGACACCTAGGCATATCGATCATCACCGATCTCATATGCTCCTTGCTTCCTATCATCATCACGCGGGATATCCAGTTGCCCATAAGAAGGAAGGTATCGATTTGGACGCTGATGGCTCTCGGACTGATCTGCACAGCATGTTCTGCTGTCAGGGCGAAAACACTTAATTCGAAAGCAAAGGATATTGCCTGTACGTGAAGATTCTCGCGCTGCAATAAAGCCGTACTAACTCAGTTTGACTAGATGAGTACTCTGCCGTAGCCATTTGGGCCATGACTGAGTTATGCCTTGGTATCATAGCCACTAATCTCGCGCTTTCTCGATCTGTTTATCATCATTATGTTGGAAACAACCCTCTTTCCCCGATCAACAGCGGACCCAGCCATGTATACTGGCGGCCTGCGGAAGGAGAAAGCAGGAGCTCAAGGATGACCAACAACGGGGCGAGTGACATACCACTCAAACCAGCCGCTGGTGTTGAAGAAACATATGAGGTCGAGATGCATGCGTCTTGAACAGATACCTAATATGATTTGTTCAGATTTGGTTCACTCCCGCAACACAGACGAGATACACGATGACTAAATCTGCCCATTAAATAATGGAAGGGATGAGAAAGAAGTCAAATTTGGTTCGTTTTTTTCTAGTTCGCCAGCGCATCCGACTCGACTACAGAAGCCTCAACGTCTCACGTACTACCACCAGCAGCTTGAGCAATAACCCTCGCCTCTTCTTTCGACAACCCAACAGTTTCCCCCGTTGGCCTCCTCAACCAAAGGCTCACCCTCGCATCCGTCTCACGCCGTGAATCCTCCTCTGTCCATTCCCTCAAGCGCTCAGCATATTCACCGGCCTCCTCACCATCCCGTGGTACAGGACGTGCGCCGTGCGAATCACCCCCAGCACCATCTTTCCGCTGTCGTTTCCGGTATGCGTCGATCAATTCAGCCGTGATTTCGCGCTTTAATCTCCTTTTACTAGCTGTCAGTCCGTTCCTGATATACGTTTGTATTATGTCGTTGCGGATGCCTTCATCAAAGTATGCCATGACTGTGCCTCCTATGTGCTTTGCATATGTGCCTTCTTTGAGCTCCATTAGCTCGACTGTTAGATCTGCGTCTTGGCAGACTAGGCCGATTATGAAAAGGAAGAGGAGGATGAATAGGACGAGGAATCCTGTGTCGGTCCAGCGCCATGCGTTGCTATGTACGAAGGTGTGCTTTTCGGTGAGCCAGAGGTCGACGAGGGTTGGTGGAGCGGGTTCTGACGGTACTGATGGTGGTATGTATGACATGGCTGCTTCAAGCTGATAACGAGATGTGTATGTTTGCTGATGTGACTGCGATGTTTAGTTGTGTGCTTCGAAGATCTGGCCACATAGCCCATACGGAGTAGGCGTCTTATGTGAAAGTAGGTAGACAAAGATATGACGAATGCGCGAACCTTCTTTGATGATCGGGACAAACGGACAAAGGTCTACTAAGAGAAGCGTTGTACACACCGATCATCCCTTCCAACGTTAGTGCAAAACATGCTTCAAATGCGTGATAGTACATGAGAACGGTAACGTCAGATTGAGAAGGCGATTGACTATTGCACATAACCCAGATCACCAGCATATCAAACGTATCATCCCGCAATATGTGAACCTTTTGCATTTCATACATGTAACGCAGTCTTCTAGCTCCCACCCGCACCCACAGACAGCGTTACATCTCCACCCTCACCCGATCCTCCACTAATAAGTTGCCGACAAATCCCTCCCCGCCGATGCGACCATGCTGTTGCCGGACCCAACTTCCCCTGTCTCATCCCCGTTACAGGCCTCGTCTACCCCTAAGCCTGTCGGCGAGAGGGAGCCCAGAACGGCCTCACCAAGCCTAGGGTCTTTCCGTATTGCACTTGTGCTTATAGCCGGCAACTTCGTGTTGCGACGGCCTTGGGAATACCCTGCCGTAGGTGATGGCAGTCCGCGCTCTCCCTCAGATGAAGGCGATCCGCCACTTCCGACGAGCGATGGTGGCGCTCCGCTGCTTTCGTAGCCGGCGGTGTCGAGTGCGTTGCGTAGGTTATGAGAGGGTTCGAGTGAAGAAACACTTCTGGAATGGATTGACGCGACAGATGGTGGAAGCTTGGATGGTCTGCCGTTTTGGTGGCCTCGATTTCTGGCACCGTTACGCTCGGTGCGATCCGTACGCTTCTTGATGTGCTTGTGGCCGCGGAGGACATAGTACCACTCATTGGCGTCAAATGTATTTCGAATCCCTTGTTTATCGTCCTTCAGACTCAGCCTTTCCTCAGCAGCTGCCATATCCTTCTCATTCAAGGAAACACCTGCGTGTTCGCTCAATCGAAGGTGGCTAAGCTGTCTGTCGGAAGACCCTTCCGTACTACACTGCTTCTCTGCCAGATAGTCCAAGTGTTCTTGATATGGCCTCCAACGCGGTCCCTTCAGTGCCTGTTCTCGAACAACCTCGGTAGGGCTGGGGCTTGCTTCTTGATCATCGACGGTTTTGTGCACTCCTCCGTTTAGAATCCATTCATTGTAACGTTGTGCTACGCTCTGGAGTAGAAAGTCGACATCCTCCCTCTCAGTCTTCAGTAGACCTCTTTGCTGACGTGGCAAGCCCTTGAAATAGACGTCTGACAAATCCATGTTCACAGCAGACGTGAAGTGGCTCACAGCGGCGTCCCATTCGCGCAAACCACCGCAGCCACGGCCACACCAGTATTCGGAACGTGCGAGTAGGCTGCGGCTAGATCTAGCTTCGGCAAGTTGGTATGCTTCGACAGCAAACCTATGAATTCTCTTGTAGTAGGACCGTACGATTGCCTCGGCCTTAGCCTCAGACTGTTGTGCCCGGGGTGTGCGCTCCATCGAGTTGATGATTGACTGCAAAACTACGCAACGATTGAGGTACGTTTGGCATTGGATCAGACCCATGGCTACCCTAAATTCGTTGCTGGATTTTTCTTCAATGGGGACGCCATTCGCGATAGATTCAGGCGTGATATTCGAAGGGGTTTCGTTGCTGATGTGTTGATCTCTTTCTCGAAATGGTTGACTTAACGGCGATGCGCAGTCGGAAGATTTGTCGTGTTTGGGGGGAGTGGGGAGATTGTTGATGTATGCAGATACATCGTTAGCACGATCTGCGATGCTGTTGAGGGATTTATGGCCGAGGGCAGCGACCTCTAGGGGCTGCTGAACGTTTGCGAACATCGCGATGAAATAATCAGAAGAGCAAAGCTCCTAGTAAGCTCAGGCAAATGTGTCTTGCGATGGCATAGAACTATCAACTTTCCGACTAAAGATGTTCGTGCTTTGGGAATGTCTCAAGCCGCGCCGCATTTGATGTAACGCTCTCCGTAACAACTCTTTGTTTGTTGTCTGCAGCCCTGCACGAAAGCGGAAACCGCCAGAACAAAGGACGGCACGGCTTCTCAAGTAGTGGCTGAACCGCCATGTTTGTGCGAACAAAGAAGCGCGGTACCAAAAGTTCATCCCCTGAACGGCGGAGTGCTGCCATGACTTCCCATGATGATAGACCAATGTGACATGGTAGTATTACTCTCGGTGATGTTCGTCGCTCTTTGATTTGACCCAGCGGTAGGGCAACGACATTCGTCTCGCTTTCGCGGCGGCGCGCTGCCTAAGTTGCGCACTGGTTCGACGGCGCTTGTTCTAGGAGAGGTCAGTATGCTGTGGGGTGTTGGAATCGACGCTGACATACCTCTGTGCCCTTATCCTCCAGTTGGGCGAGCAAGCCTTCCATAGTGCGGTTCTCATCAAAACCCGACCGACGCTTGGTACAGCGCAGCAGATCCAGCTCATCATCGTAAGACTTGCGAAACTCCCTGGCTTTAGCGGAGAGGTCGTCGTCGCAAACGGTGCTGAAGGCTTCTCGGGCTTGGTGGAGCTGACGCAGCTCATAGTACAACAGGCCACGCTGGTATTGTATGCGTGGCAAGAAGCTTTGAAGCTCAGAAAGACGGTCGCAGAGCTCTACGGCTTCGCTGCACGTAGCTAGCGCGTCAAGGAGCTCATCGGGGCCAGAGGCTCTTAGAATGTTGCTCTTCAAGAGTAAGCCTTCGGCGCGAGCCTTGTAGCTAAGCGGGCCTTTCAGGAGTCGCTCGACCTCGACCAGGGCAGTGCCGTAGTTACGCTGAGCGGTACACTCTTGTGCGCGCTTGAACAAGGGATGGGTGCAATCTTCGGAGGGCCGTCGCAAGTGAGTTGGCTCGATCTCTTTCGGTAAGCATACAGTAGCGGAGCCAAAAGTGTAATTGACGTGAAGGTCCTCAGTACCGTCGAAGGTAGCAGGACGGTGGTTCTCGCGCTCGCCAGAGATTGTCTGGAGACGTTGTTGTTGAGCTCGCTCGTTTTCCAACTCGGCTTGCGTAGCAAAGCACACGTTTTGCAGCTCGTGTAGGCGGGATGTCTGCGCTTCGAAGGCCGCATTGTATTGGAGCGCCACAGCCTGCCAGGTATCTCGGTCGACCTTGAGGTCATGGACGATGCGTTCGATTTCGGAGATCTGTTCCATGCTGATCGGCGGCATCGTAGGAATGCACGAATCAATATGTTTGTGGTGGTGTCCAAAATGAAGGGGTGGATGTGACTGTTGGCTCGGCTACAGAAAAGCTGGTGCCTAGGTGATGTTCAGAGCAAGCGCAACCTACGAAGAGCAGGCGCGGTGGACGGGTCCTGATCACGCCTTCTCTGGAACCCGCATATTGTAAGGTGCGCCAGGCGTCGTCAGATGTTGAAGCCGCCATGCCTCGATGCTTCGACGAACCTCCACAAGCCAGCTTCTTGGGCTGCTTTTTTGACTGATGCGACTTCATCCAGGTCTACAGCGCGATTGATCTCACTATATCGCACGTCTTTCTTAGTCGAGGGTGAGGCTTCAACACCGCCTGGCTCAACAATGCCCTGGCTTGCGCGGCTGCGTCGCTCCTTGCCCACATGAGCTCTTGGAAAATACTGCTCCATGATGTGCACCATGATATCTTTGCTCACGTTCTCGGCAAGCCACTTCACGATCTCTCGTCCTTCGTCCTCCATGCCGGGCATCACCAGGTGTCGCACCAGCACTCCCTTCTTTGCGATGCCGTCAGGAGTGAAGCAGAGGTCACCCACTTGCTCGTGCATGGCCCTGATGCTCTCCATAGCCACCTTTGTGTATCCGTCTGCCTTCAGTAACCGACGGCTCGTCGCGTCACGCCACACTTTGAAGTCCGGCAGGTAAATGTCCACCAAGCCATCCATCAAGTGTATGCTCTCGAGCGAGTCGAATGACGACGTGTTGTAAATGATGGGTATGTGGAGACCGAGATCGCGCGCATGCAGAATCGATAGGCAGACCTGGGGTACGACATGTTCGGGTGTCACGAGGTTGATGTTGTGGACGCGGCCCACGTCCTGCAGCTTCATGAACCACTCGGCGAGTTGCTCTGGTGTCAGGTCGAACCCGTTGCGCTGGTGGGCTATATCGTGGTTCTGGACACGGCGTTAGTGTGTATACTACGACGAAGGACAGGGCAGCATACCTGGCAGAACACGCATCTCAGGTTGCACCCAGAGAAGAAGACGGACCCGCTGCCATTGTGTCCCTGGAAACAGGGCTCCTCTGATCGGTGTCAGCACGAATACGCCTAGGATTTGCCGACTTTAACCCACCACCAAAGTGAGGAGCGATAGTGTTGACTTTGACAGTCTCGGCTCCTATCAGACACGTGCCTGTCGTCTCGTAACGGTTGACACCGCACAGTCGGGGGCAGAGATTGCATTCGCGCAAATGAGCATACGCCAGGGATCGCTTCTTGGCGGCTTCCACTGAGGTAAGCAGCTGATAGCGCGGTATGTAGTCGTCGAGGAGGTATGGCGGTGCGAGGTAGAGGTTTCGTCGGAAGGGTATGCCTCGGGCGCGAAACGAGGGGCGTCCAGCAGCACCAAGCCTCAAGGCGGGTCGCGTTCGCCAGCTGAAAGCCATCCTAGCAAGCCCGAAGAGGACATCGAGTTGGTAAGATGACGACGCGTAGGGTACACGTGTGATGCGATGCTGAGGTTTGGGTGCTGCAGCCATAGCGATGACGACAGCCCCACTTGCCGAGGCTCTAAAGCCGCGCTATCCCCGGATTGTCCCATCCCAAAGTACTTCGAAGAGCATCAGGAGGCTTCCAAGAGCTATTCTCTGTCTCTGAGTACTCTCGCCTTCATCCCCGCCTTCGTCCCACGTTACCGTCGTACCGCATCTCACGCGTTTAGAGTAGTTAACCTTCTTGATAGCTCCGCACCGAGAGCTTAGCCTGCGAATGGCTGCTGGCTGCTACACCACCAATGCTAGGCCGGTGGTTTGCTTTGGCACTATATCCAGGAACGATCGAATGGGTTTCAGACGAACCTACCAGCTGGAACCACATCATGGTCTCGTGATACCTTCTCCGCCCGGATTCCGGGAACACCGGCAATAATTGACCACACAAATACAATACTCTGGTATGATCTATTCAAACCACAAGCCAATACAATTCAAATAATATCGTGCGCCGTGACAGAGCGGTGTGAACAGACTAAAGAGCTGCACTACCATCACTCACACCCACATCACGCGCTTCTGCGTCATCTTTATCCTATATTACTACTAGAATACGGATTCAGGTAGGACAGCTCAATATGATAGTTCAGAGAAGTTGAGTTGCGAGGATACAGATCTGCATAGCTATCCCAACACGGCGCTTGTCGGGCCTAGTCGCTGACTGCCCTTAAGAGCTAATGGACGTCTTCGCCCTTAGCAGGAACAAGCTTGCGCATCTGGAGAAGCAGAGAAATCCGCCCACGACAGGTTCATTAGCAACCCACCAAATTCGATCGATCAATTGCTGTAGCTACCCGTCTGGTGCCCCAGCAATACCCACATCTCGGTCGCCAATACCAACGTGCCTTGCCGACACGCGAATGACAGCTTTGTCGTACTTTGTACTGTTTCCAAATTTGGACTCATCGCTGCCTTGTTGAGCAAAACGGCCACGTAATCGTGCTACTTGGTCTTAGAGTTGCTCTTGCCTTCTTGGGTGGATCTTGTTTTGGTACTGCTCGATGTGTTGCAGACCGCGACTTCCCCAAGTACAGCCAATGCGACTTCCTAGCTGCTGGCAGGCAGTCACTTGCCTCGCACAAGAAAATCTGCAAGGACGGCACATCCATCATCTTAGCTTGTTCTCAAACATCACCCAAGCTTCCCAACACTACCACTGCACTTCTTCCCCAAGTATAAGAGCATCACCGAAGCATCACTACTTCAACATCAACAGCTTCAGCTTTCACACATCAGCATCTTCCACCCAATCATCGACCCCTCAAACATCAAAATGCGCATTTTCGCTCTTCTTCCCGTCCTCTTCGGCCTTCCAGCCTTTGCGGACCTGGTCGAAACCAAGTTCCCGACATTGCTCCTGCCCATGAAAAGCTCCCAGCCGGACACCGCTTTCTACACCCAGGATGACGCGACTGTCAGCCGCATTGTAAGTGTCTAAAGACCCACATCATGAGCTTGCCAGCTACTAATCCGTCGTTCAGAACAAGACAGACACCGAACAATGGACAGCAATCAACTTCGACGTCCCCCAGATTGACAACGTCAAGATCTGCCGCCTGCGATTCCTCATCAACGTCGACCCCTTCAAGAACGCCCCACTTACCCTCAAGGGCGAAGCTCCTATGGCCATCAGCATCTCTCGCATCGAAGCCAAGCTCGTCAACGGCCGCAGTACCTGGAACAACAAGCCCGCCATCACTGAACACTACGACGCCTACACCCTGACGTCAAACGGCGCATCTGAGGTTGTCAGCAAATGGTTCGAGTGTCCCATGAA